ATGCTAATTGATGCTGATGCTGAAATATTGGATGCTGATAGATTTGATATTGATGTTGACAATGATGCTGATACTGATGTTGATATTGATGTTGACAATGATGACAATGATTTGTTGATATGATGCTGATTATTGATGTTGATACTAGTGGATATTGATTGACAAATGATCTGATCTGATATTGATGTTGATAATGATGCTGATAATGATGCTGATGCTAATATTGATGTTGATAGTGATACTGATATTGATGCTGGTATTAATAATGATGCTGATATTGATGCCGATGCTTACACTTATACTGACACTGATGTTAATATTGATGTTGATGCTAATATTGATGCTGATAGTGATACTGATATTGATGCTGAAACTGATACTGATGCTGGTACTAATAATGATGCTGATATTGATGCTGATGCTTACACTTATACTGACACTGATGTTAATATTGATGTCGATACTGATGCTGACACTGATACTGATATTGATGCTGATACTGATGCTAATATCGTGTGCGAGCGGCGTCTTATTGAAAGCGCTTCGCATATTAATAATACAGGCGACAATCGGTAATGATGCCATAGCATACAGAGAATGACTGTGATATAAACGCGCATAAAACCAGAAGCTCACTGATGGACACTAATCATGACCACGATTATTGGAGAGAAAAACATCACCCGCAATAATAGCAGACGAAAAAAAATCAAAAGCAAACAAACAAAAAACTAAAAGCACCACGTCATCAACAACATCAACATGAGCAGCAACAACAATAACACACGATAACAACACGCCGAAAACACGCGCACACACCGCCACCAACAACAAGAACAGCGACAACGCCAATAATACAACAACGATAATAATGTAACGAACAACACAAGACGAAGAACAAGACGAAGAACAATGGACAAAAGGTCCCCAGCGTTGATAAGATCACGGGAGGAAAAGACACTGAAGAATGAAAAGTAAAAAGAAGCAAAGATAAAAATAAAAAATAAATAAAAAGAAAAATATAAACGAGAATAAACACGGGCATAATGACCAATGAAATACGAAATACATATTTACCAGACGCAGTAAAAAGTACAAACACGGTACAGTAAAAACAACAAACGAAAAGAGAAGTGAAAGAAATACAACAAAAAATACACAAAAATAACCATAAAATAATAAACAAGAAAAACCAACAAAGACCAACGAAAAAAACACTGGACAACAAAGAACGAGAAATAATGAAAAAAAGAGAAAAGAGATTTAGAAAGAGCAGACGACGAAGGGAGAAGCGGCGAACGTCTGTGATGCTTATGAACATTCCTCCAGCTAATTGTTACAGAATATCAATTTAAGAAACATTTTGAGAGGCCATTAAAAAAAAGACCAGATATTTAGAGAGAATACTAGAATAAAAGCTATTTAGAGAAGATATCAAAATGAAAGATACTTAGAGAGGATATCAAAATAAAAGATATTTAGAGAGAATATTTAAAAAGACCAGTTATTTCGAGAGAGAATATTGAAATAGAAGAAATTTAGAGAAGAGATTTCAAAAGACCAGTTCATTTCGAGAGATTATCAAAATAGAAGACATTTAGAGAAGATATTCCAAAAGAAAGATATTTTTGAGAGGACGACAAGAGAGAGGCGGGTACAGGGCCGGAGGAACGGGCAGCCGCAACCGCCCAAACCGCTGACCGTCACAGCCATCGCCGCTTTCATGTCCGTCGAGATAACGAAAGCCCGGGCGCCCATTGCGATCTTCTACACACCTGCTTCTGCTTCTGCTGCCGCCGCCACTGCTTCTGGTAGCTGTCCTTCTCTTTTTCCCTTTTCCTCCCTTCCCCTCCCTCTCCCCATCCCTTTCGTCCTCTCATTATACTTCTCTCTCTCCCCTCCCTCTCTCCCCTCCACTACTCCCTCTCCCTCCCCCCCTCTCTCACTCTTCCCTTCGCTTCATGCTCTCCCCTTCCCCTTCCTCATTCCTCTCTTCCCTCTCCTTCCCTTTACTCCTTTCCTCCTCTCCTCCCAATGCCACTCGTGCTGTTCGCCTCAGCATTCGCCTCAGCATCCCCCTCCGGCCACGCTTCCCTTCGGCCTTCAGTCGTCCCGTGTCGCGGAATGCCGTTCTCTTTCCTCTCCTTTTGCTCTCGCTCTCTCTCTCTCTCTCTCTCTTGTGTGTGTGTGTGTGTGTGTGTGTGTGTGTGTGTGTGAGAAGAGCACTTCTTCTTTAATTCTTCTCTCTCTCCTCTCTCTCTCTCTCTCTCTCTCTCTCCTTCTCTCTTCTCTCTCTCTCTCTCTCTCTCTCTCTCTCCTCTCTCCTCCTGTCACCTGTGTCCTGTCCTATCGGCTGCTACCACAAACTAATACGCAAACCCACTATCTCACCTCATCTCCATTCCTCTCACCTCCTCTCTTCCTTCCTTCTCCCTCTCTCTCTCTCCTTTCCCCTCCCTCCTCTCCTCTCCTCCCCTCTTCTCTTCCTTCCTTCCCTTCTCCTTCTCTCCTCTTCTTCCTATCCCCTCGCCCATCTCTCCTCTCTTCTCTTCTTGCTTCCCTCCTCCTCTCTCTCCTCATCTCTCCCTCCTCCCCCCTCTTTCTCATCTCTCTCTCTCTTCCCTTCCCTCCTCCCTCTCTCACTCCTCACTCTCCTTCCCACTTCCTTCCCTCCTCCCCCCGACCCTTCTCCCCCTCCTCCTCCTCCCACACAAACCCCACGATTAGCTCCTCGTCTCCTTTCTGACCTTTCGATCGTTTCACAACCACTTGCGCGGCGGCTTCTTTTCCGAACCCCCTGGCCTCTCTTGTCTCGTATCTTCGTCTATTGTAATTAAGACCCACAAAGTTCTATTTATTTATTTATTTTTTTTCTCTCTCGTCCCTTTTCTGATCATTGCTTTCGACCGAGGCCGACACTGAGGCAGGCACGATAACTTGCGTTGCGGTTAGCGAAATACACTGATTTTTTTAATAGGAAAAACGTACAGGTTTATGTATGTTGGGTTCATATCCGTCTGAAACCAAAATGTGTTCTTTTTCAACCTTTAAAAATACACATATCTTTCCAGCAATTAACCGAGAGTTATCAGACAGCAACAGTGAGACAATAATGTAAGTAAGAAATGGAAATAAAGCAAGCAGTGTACATGAACGCCGACGGCAATGCCCACAGGGAGTGTAACTAACAAATTAACAAACCAACAAACGCAAACAACGCATTCCTCACAAAAATATGAGGCTTTAAAATCACGCATATCCTGTCCCCCCCCCCCCCCCTCGTGGAGGAGTACCGTGCCATTCTAATACTACTCAGAACACCTTTTAAAAAATCACAGGGTACCAATACCCAACCTCCTCTCCTCCTTGCCTTCCTCCTCCTCTCACCTTCATTTCTCCTTCTCCTTCCTTACTCCTCCTCTCTCCTCCTCCTTCTTCTTCTTCTCTTCTTCTTCTCTCTTCTTCTTCTCTTCTTCTTCTTCTCTTCTCTCCTCCTCCTCTTCTCCCCTCCCCCCATTTCCATGTCTCCTCGACCCCCCCCCTCTCATACGTCTTTACGGTGACCCCCTCCTTGTCATCACGACCCCCTTACCCCCACCCCTCCCCCGTTTATATATCTTCGCGACCCTTCACTACCCTCACTTCCCTTCCCCTTCAATCCTCTTCCCTCCCCTCTCCACACCCTTCCCTATCCTCCTATACCCTCTATATACCCTTCCTTACCCTCCTTCCCCCACTCTTCCCCATCCCCTCCCCCTCCTTATACCCTATTTACCTCCCCACACCCCTCCTTATGCCCTCCCCAACCCCTCCCTATACCCTCCTCTCCCCACTCTAACCCTCCCTACACCCCCGCCCTACCCTCCCCATTCCCCTCCCTCCCCTCCTTAACCTCCTCTCCCCCCTCCTCCTCCCTATACCCACCCCTCCCCTCCCCCCTCCCCCCCCCACCCCCGCAACCGACCTGGAACCCCCCTCCTCGCAGGCATTCCTCACTCTCATTCATTAGCCCGATTGTGGAGGGAAGATTAAATGGATACTGACTGGATTTGGTTCGTTTTTCTCTCTCTCGCTTCTCCGTTTCTTCTTCCTTTCATTTCCTTTTTCTTCTTTCTTTTTCCCTTTCTCCTTGTTTCGCTTTCTTTTCCTCTCGTCTTCTTTCTATTCTTTTGGGTGTTCTAGTTTTTTTTTTTTTCTCCTCTCTCCTTCCTCCCACCCCCCTCTTCCCTCCTCCTTCCTCCTTACTCTTTCCTCCCACCTCCCACTTTCTCCCTCATCCCCTTCCTCCTCCTTTCAACGCACCTCCCACTTCCCTCCTCCTTCCCCCCCTCCCTCCACTTCCCACCACTCTCCCAACACCCTCCTCCACCTCCTTCTTCTCCCCTTCCTCCCACTTCCCACCTCCTCCTTCCTCTCTCCACCTCCACCCATCACCCCCCTTCCTCCCACCTCCTGCTTCCTCCTTCCTCCACCTCCCACTCCCCCCTCCTCCTCCTCCTCCTCCTCCCTCCTCCTCCTCCTCTTCATCCACCTGCCAGTCCTCCTCCCAACACCTTCTTCCCCCCTCCCCCCCTTCCCCCTCCTCCCCCACCTCCCCTTCCCTCTCCCTCCCCCTCCCACACCCTCCCTTCCTCCCGCCTCCCCGCCTCCTTAATGACGGGATGGACACATGAGTCGTAAACTCGTCATCATACATCATCACTTTCCTCGTGAATTCGCCGCCGAAATTGCTACTCAGTCGGGAAAAAAAGAAAAAGAAAAAAAAAGAGAAAAGAAAAGAAAAAAGAAAAGAAAAAAGAAAAAAAAGAAAAGAAAAGAAAAGAAAAGAAAAGAAAAGAAAAAAAAAAGAAAAGAAAAGAAGAAAGAAAAAAAAAAGAAAAAAAAAAGAAAAAAAAGAAAAGAAAAGAAAAGAAAAGAAAAGAAAAGAGAGAAAAAAAAAAAAAAAGTTCCCATCACATCCACTTCAAACCTAATCAAATGCAAATGGAAACTAAGACGATAATAGTTACACTGCTAATACTAATAAAACTTGTACAAATACTAACAATAGCCATTAAAAAAAAAACACTCATCACGATCTATTCATTAAAATTAAACCCATTCAGATAATTCCCTAGAAATAAAACCCTCTGTTTTAAACCCCCGGCGACCCTTCCTTTCCCTCTGAAACCTTTTAATAGAAAAATAAATAACAAATAAAAATAACACGTTCAAAGAGAAATGAACGCTCGCTTACTCGAAGAACATCGTGTTATTCTGAACACATGTTCTCTTTCTTTCATTCCCTTTTTTTTTCTTCAATCTCTTCCTTTCGTTCATCCTTCTCTTCTTCTTCTTTCTTGCATTTTTCTTCCCTTCTCCCTCTCCCTTTCAACGCAACACAATCCCTCGGTATTGCGTATTTTCGTGGAATTCCTCTACAAATACGAACCGAAATCAAAATAAAAAAACCGTTGAAAAATAAAACCGAAATCGTTGAAAAAAAAAAAAAAAAAAAACACTCACCGAGACTGCTCATTAAACTGAAACCAATTCTCTGCTCGGTAATTCTCGCGACACGAGAGAAATCCTCAGTTTCCTTGCAAGAAATCCCGCTTTAAAATGTTATCCTCGGAGACACTGACACTGCTTGTTATTCATCACGTTTCAATACCTTTATCCTTCTCACTATCCACATACCTTTATCCTCATCCTTATCCTCCTCACTATCCTCATTATCCTCCTTATCCTCATACCTTTATCATCATTATCCTCATTTATCCTCATACCTCATTTATCCTCTCCTCATTATCCTCTATCCTCATACCTTTATCCTCCTCATTATCCTCATATATCATATCCTCAGCCTTATTATCCTCCTCATTATCCTCATACCTTATCCTCCTCCTACTCATACCTTATCCTCCTCATTATCCTCATTACCTTTATCCTCCTCATCTCCTCATATCCTCATACCTTTATCTCCTCACTATCCTCATACCTTTATCTCCTCATATCCTCACCTTTATCCTCCTCATTATCCTCATACCTTTATCCTCTCATTATCCTCATACCTTTATCCTCCTCATTATCCTCATACCTTTATCTCCTCATTATCCTCATACCTTTATCCTCCTCATTATCCTCTACCTTATCCTCCTCATTATCCTCATACCTTTATCCTCCTCATCCTCATACCTTTATCCTCCTCATTATCCTCATACCTTTACCCTCATTATCCTCATCTGACTTCATCTTAAGACCGCGAATCGACTTCCTTTGCCATAACCTCTTATGAGCCTTTGACTTCATCGGCGACATCGTAATGAGCTCCATCTTTTTTTCCTTTTCCTATTATTTTTCATATTTCGGGTTATTTCTTTATTCCTCCCTTTCGTTTCTCGTTTCTCCGTTTTCCCCCTTTCCGTTCCGGCCTAGTTTTATAGTGTGCTTCCTTCCCTTCCCGTCTCTTTCTATTTTCTTAATTTCCTCATCTCTTTCGTCTCCTCTTCTTTCGTCGTTTTAGAGGCTCTTTCATCATCTCTATCTTCCACTTTCCTTCTCCTTTTCACCTACTTCACTTTCAAAAACAACAAAAACAAATAACACAATAAAAGAACTATCACATTCCCTCCACCTTCCCCTTCACTCCACTTTCTCTATCTTTTTGTTCCTTTTCCTCATTCTCTCTCCTCTCCTTTCTCCTCCCTTCTCTCTTCTCTCTCCTCCCTATTCTGTCTTCTCTCTACTCTCCTCCCTTCTCTCTTCTCTCTCTCCTCTCCTCTCTCTTCTCTCATCTCACCCTCTCTCTCTTATTCACATTCTCTCCTTTCTTCTCCCTCCACTCTTACTCTTGCATTTGGTGTGTTTATTCAACCCCCTCCCCATCCCTACCTCCCCACCCCATCCCATCTTCACTTCCTGCTATTTACTCACCGCTAATTTATCGGACTTTTTTGTCTCCCTCTTTCCCTCTCTCTCCCTCTCTCTACCATAATTAGTTAATTACCTTCTGCTGTTCCCGCTGAGTGCGCGGCGCGGTTCATTACCTGCAAAAGAAAAAAAAGGAAAATTTAAAAAACAATAACAAAATAAAAGGTTTATAATATATCCTTTACGTTATGGTGGCAGCGGCGTCGGTGCGACACTAGGGTGCTTTTGCCACTGTTGTTTATGGCTACGGCGACCGTGTGTGCATCTGCCTCGTTAGCTGTTATCTAGGCGCCGGTGAGAGTGGGTGGGTGGGAAGGGGGGAGAAGGGGAGGCAGACAAGGAGAGGAGGAGAGTAAACAAGGGAGAGGTTAAGGAGGAGAGGAAAGAAGGAGAGGGAGAGGAGAGGAGGGAAGAAGGAGAGAGAGGAGAGTGATGAAGAAGAAGTAAAGATGGGATTGGGAGAGAGAGAGAGAGAGAGAGAGAGAGAGAGAGAGAAGAGAAGAGCATGATGAGAGAGAGAGAAGAGTGACTGTGTGTGTGTTGTGTGTGTGTGTGTGTGTTGTGTGTGTGTGTGTGTGTGTGTTGTGTGTGTGTGTGTTGTGTGGTGTACAAGTTCTTACACGATAAATTTCAGCTACTAAGCTCTTAACTCTTGTTTGTGTAAGCTTCTTAACTCTTTCTTGTTTGTAGTTAATGTTACATCTTAAACTGAGTAAATCAATGATGATATAGATACAAAAAACATAAAAACAACACTGATAATAATAGAATACTATCAGCAAAAAATTATCATTATATCTTTATGATGTTAAAAGCCAATAACCATCAACTACTACAAGTACTAACAACTACTAACAACTATACTAACAGCAATTTCAACAAAAGCAGTAGTAGTAGCAACAACAACAATAATAATGACAGCAAAAACAATAATGATAACTGTACCATCAATAATCGTCATCATAATTAAAAATTATATACTATATACTATAACCACGACAACGTAGTCATAACAAGAACAACAAGAACATCCCAAAAATCAAGCATTCTTCCTCGCACAACCAAAAACAAACAAACAAACACGTCAAAAAGGGTCAGTCTAAGCAAGGTTCAAAAGCGAGAAATTCCCTCCTCCCCCCCCACCTCCATCCCCCTTCCCCCCTCCCGTCCCCCCCTTCCCCTCCCGCCACCGCCCCCCCCCCCCAGCCCCTCCGAACCCTTTTTTTGTGGCGCTGCTATTTCCATCCCTTGGCTAAAAACAGCGCCATCTATAAATAGCCATAATAACGGGCTACTTAAGGGGGGGGAAGGGAGGGGAAGGGAGGGGAAGGGAGGGAGGGAGGAAGGAAGGAAGGAGGAAGGAGGGAGGGAGGGAAGGAAGGAAGGAAGGAGGAAGGAGGAGGAGGAAGGAGGGAAGGAAGGGAGGGAGGGAGGGGGAGGAGGGGAAGGGAGGGAGGCGCAGACGGACCTGACAGGGTTACAAGCGCGCCGGCGATGATAGCGTCAGAAGGTCGTCCCGGCGGTCGTTGCGCTCCTCGCGTTTCGTTTCGTCCCCTTGACAACACTTGCTCTCGGGGTCGTTCTCTCGACTTTCCTCCAAAGGTCGTTCTTGAACTCGCACTTCGATTCGTTCCTGTGCCCGTTCGTGCCTTCTTTTAAATTCCTTCTCAAGGTCGTTCTCGGTTTCCGTCTCGAGGTCGTTCCTGTATTTCTTCTTAACGTCCTTCTTGTTCTTGTTTTTACGACAATAACAACAACAATAACAGTAGGATTAGTAGTACAAAACAACAACAATAATAATAAAATATAACTAAAATAACATATCCTCATACACACAGAACAGAGGCTACCATGAACGCCAAAGTCGATCGAACACAGAAGCTCTGTCTTTATCTAATCTCAAGACAGATATCCTTTCGAGCTGATCTATTTCTCTTCACTTACGTGTCCACCTACTGATAAACCAAGCAGGTGTGAAACTGCGCGTGCCTCGTGCCCTGCAACACGCAAATGACATGTACAAACGCAACTGCTGTCGGGTTATCATGCAAAATAAACCTGTTTCGTTCCACCTTGTAGACTCGACCGAACTTCTCTAATTTACAAGCGGAACAAAAATAAATAAAAATAGTATATACAAAAGATAAAACTACAACCCCTGACCCCCCTCCCTCACACACACACACAATTAATTAATCAATTAAAGACGAAAAAATCGCTAAAACTTTTACTTGCTTATCATCAAATTAATCATGCTCGTTGACGCCGACACTTTAACAAATATGGTAACGACATCATAAATACATTTACAGCTAATGCCACGTTCCGCTACGAGACACTGTAAGCACGTAACTCAATAATTGCATTTTTCCCTTGGTAGTCTTCTTCTGCCGCCAGTACGTGCGTCTAAGGAGCCACGGATGCAAGCACACATATGGGCACACATCCACAGGCATCCAGAACCGGTAAGTTAACGCAAAAAAAAAGAAAAGAAAAAAAAACATACACATCCGACGCACACGTACACACACAGACACACACGCCACACAAACAAACACACACACACACAACCACACACGCATTACACTCACACACACACACACAAAACAAACACACAAGCCACCACAACACACACACCACCACACCCAACAACACCCCCAACACACAACCCCCTCCCCACCCACCACCCCCACCCCACCCCACCCCACACACACACCCCCGAATCCGCCCCGGCCACAGCCCTTGTCCAAACAGCAGGACAAAGGTTTACTGGCCAGGTACCCTTGTGTCGCCCGTTATCTGATGCCGGCTCCCTTGACCCCGTCCTTTCCGCCGCTTCTGCACATAACCCTCTGCTACTCACGTACGAAATGAACGAATGCACAAATAGATAAATAAATAGATCAATAATGCAAATACAAATAAATAGATAAATATAAATAAAAAATACATATAAATACACATAACATAAATATATCAATAAATGCACAAACAAATACATAAATGAATAGATCAATAAATAAATGCACAAATAAATACATAAATAAATAAAATAAATTGCACAATAATAGATAATAATGAAGATGTCAAATGTCATGAATAAATTAATCAAAAAAAAACACCTATTTAGCTCCCCTTTAGCACAGTTCTGCAACTCTGCAACACGCGCGAAATATAGAAAAAAAATACACACAGACGTGTCTTATCTTCCTTTTTCTTAAATTTCTTAATTTCTGTTTATCACACCTAAATTCTTCCCCCCTATCTCTCACTCTCGGGTATCAGGTGCCCCTCCCCCTTCCCCTCCCCCCTCCTCCATCCAAGCCATCTTGACCGCGTCCGGGGGTCACTAGACGCTCCCTACCCCCCCCCCCTTCTCCCCTAGCCAGCCCTCCATTCCCTGCAACGCATTTCTCTCTCCGAATTCTCCCCCCCCCCTCCCACCCCTCTCCCTCCCCCGTCCTTTTGTGTTTCAATCGCAAAGGACATAAAATTTGAGCATCTCTGTCTGCCTTTTCTTTTAATTCGTCGCAATAGGAGGGAGGGAAGGAGGGGAAGGGGGAGGGAGGGGGAATGAGGGAGACGGGGAGGGGAAAGAAGGGAAGGGGGGCGAGGAGAGGAAGGGAGAGGAAAGGTGGTAGGAAAGGGAGGAGAGAGAGGAGAGAGAGAGAGGAGAGGAGAGGAGAGGAGAGGAGAGAAGGGGGAGGAAGAGGATGGAGGAGGGCAGGAAAGGGGAGAGGAGGAGAAGGAGAGAGAGAGAGGGGGGAAGAGAGAGAAAAGGGGAGAGAGAGAGAGGAGAGGAGAGCTGAGGGGATGAGAGGGGCAGGGCGGGCGAGGGAGGGAGGTGGGGTGGGGGTGGGGGGGGGTTCCCTTGGCGAATAAATGCACCGCTATTACTCACAAGGTGAACTAGTTCATCGATGCTACCACGCCCTCCGATCTATTCCTTTAATGAAGACATTTTTGTGAGAAAGAGAGAAAGAGAAAGAGACTGAATGTGTGTGCGCGAGACTGAGACAGATGGATAGATAGACAATATATATGTATATATATAAATACATACATACATTATATATCTATATCTATCTATCTATCTATATATATATATTGAGGAGAGAGAAGAGAGAGAGAGAGAGAGAGAGAGAGAGAGAGAGAGAGAGAGAGAGAGAGAGAGAGAGAGAGAGAGAGAGAGAGAGAGAGAGAGGAGAGTAGAGAGACAAAAGAGGCAGTGAGACAAACAGACAAAAAGACAGACAGAGAATGAGAGAGGATAATTTTCCCGTCAATGACATAAAAAAAAGACTGAGAACGTAACACCAATAGCATTCCTTATCATTTTTATGGACGGACAATAAATAAGCCTCCGACCTATAAAAGTAAAATTATTTCCTTGTCCAGATTATCATACAGAGAACCAATGTGGAAACAAAATCCTTGAAATATAACATAAAACAAACAAACAAACAATCAAATCCTTAAATTTAGAAAAAAATGTCCATAATCAAATCCTAAAATCTGGAAATATATATATAAATAATTAAATCCTGAAATCTAGAAAAAATATAAACAATATAAACATAATTTCTACCCTATTTAATTCCCTTACGTGTTGTTTAACAAAAAAAAAAAAATCTATCATTAAACGTTTGGAGACTGCCAGTCCAATTAATCATCACACATTATACTTTACCATGCAAGAGATTACTGCCAATAATTACATTTCGTCATTTTCAAAAATCCGCATTTAAAAGCAACATTCAATGAACAATCGCAGTCTAGATCTACGTACCCGCATCAAATGAACAATCAAAAAATAAAAACATACTCAGAAGACTTGCAAATGTGCAATCTACACACGACATTTTTGTGTTTACGATCATACCACCTGTTCTTGTCTCCCAAACACATTGATCAAATGAACAATCAAAATAACTTCAAAATATATATTCAGAAAACTTACCCGGATCAAATGAACAATTAAAATAATAATTTAAAAACATATTCAGAAAACTTGCAAATATGTAATCTACAGCACTACATTTTCCCACAATCACACCGCATGTTTTCATCTCTCGAAAACACTAAAAAAATCAAAACTTTCACCCACAATCAATGA